GTACGTACGTACGTAACGTAACGTAACGTAACGTACGTAACGTACGTACGTACGTACGTCGTACGTCGTGTGTAGTAGTAGTAGTAGTAGTAGTAGTAGTAGAGAGAGAGAGAGAGAGAGAGAGAGAGAGAGAGAGAGAGAGAGAGAGAGGTCCACAGTGTAAAGATGTGTTTCTTCTGGCAACATCAGCCCATGCATAAGCCCTATCCAACAAGGAAAACTGCCCCATCCAGTAACAACCACTCCTCAACATCCAATTTCCCAAACACACCACCACATAACTGAGCATCCCATATAAGCCGTCCTAAGTAAAATTTTATTACAGTGAACATCTAGCCCTTCAGTCTTGGCACTTTGATTATAAATAGAGCAAAGCACAATAGGAGACACCAAAATCAATGTAACATGTTAGTCATGTGACAGACAAAATCACATATCACTGTGGTTAAAATCAGTCGATTCCTATGGTCCTACAATTCAAAACATGCAAATAAAAATCCACTATCCTTCCTCAAGCATGCACTTTTATAAGCAATCTATAGTAAAGCAAAATTATGCAAGTACTCAGATTTCAGAAAATAAAGGACTAATGCAACCATTAGTTAGATAAGTAGAGCAAATGCAACCATTTATATTAGTAGAGCAATAGATGCATTAAAACCTCTGCTAGCCGCATTCTCACCAGCACTGCCAGATGCAGTACCAGTTGAAGGTTGTGATTGAACTGGCTGTCTGACAACTAAATGTAGTGTATGCCCGTCCTCTAGATCTAGGCACAGTTAAGAAAAATACATAATAATGAAAAATCAAAGGAAATGCAACTCAAGAATCAAGACACAAATTTTAATATAACACCAACTACAAAGTGGAATCAACAATGCATACATCTTTACCAATGTAACCTCAGGAAACAACTCCTCAAATCCTCACTACACCACATGTCAGCTACAAGCAACACCTCCAATTTCCAGGTATAAATCTCATCTCTCCCCAACATAATTATCCAATTCATCCATCCTCATCATTTCATCATTATTAACAAATGATAATAGATATATCACTTTCTTATTCTGGTTGTCCTTTTAGACACTTCATATCCATTGTGGCTGTCATTCTTCAAGCACATTCCCAACCACCATTCCATCCTCTACTCAAACAGGACCCACTTCTTTCATAACTCATAATCAAGACTCAGGAGAAAAACAAGACACTCCAATTGGTTTTGTTTTCCTTTCAAGAAATGCATCACCTATAGAAATAACAAAGCCTCCTACACACCCCAAAGCTCAATATCAATGGTAACTGCAAAGGAAATCAAGTGTAGTGGATGTGAACTTTCCCATGATGATCAAAGGATAAACTAACAGAAGTTACGTACAGGGTTTGGAACCAGTCATGCTCTGAGGCCTATCCTCTTCTTATAAAAGCTTGTTATTATTTACACATTCTTGTTCATGGTAGAAACTATGAGTAAATTACAAACCAATCATCAACGACGCCACCCCTAGACATTATTAGATGGCCCCAAAGGGGTGTTCTATTCCTTGGACATTGAAAATGCTTATAGAAACAATGAATTTTTTTTTTTTAATTCACAATGGACTTGCTTTCCTAAATATTATCAAAAAGATTGAAAGGAGAACCATATTTCATGGACCAAAATAATTATATATTATCATGTTTAGAAGGAGCTTCATTGCAATGTCATGCATGGGGTACCCAACGAAGGGCATTGGTGTTATTTGTGTACCTGGGAAAGACAACAATCAATAAAGTAGAATAAGAAGGGGTTGGTTTCTAGGACTTTTAGCCATCCCAATAATTAGCTATATATATTTGTATCCTTTAAGAAAGATGAAGACAAGAAAAGCTTTAGGACTAGATGGTACACCAATAGAGGTTTGCAAGTACATGGGAGAGATTGGTATATTTTGGTTGACCAAGTTATTGAACAAGATTTTGAGAACAAAGAAAATGCCAGATGAATGGAGAAAAAGTACTTTGGTACCTATTTACCAGAATAAAAGGAACATATAGAGTTGTGCAAACTATCGAGTGTTCAAACTTATGAGCCACACTAGGAAATTGTAGGAGAATGTCATTGAGCAACAACTACGACATGAAATTATCAGAAAATCAATTCAGATTGATGTCAGTGAGATCAACCATTGAGGGTGGGTATTTTCCTACTTAAACAATTGATTGAGAAGCTTAGGGAGAAGAGAAAAACCTTCACATGGTCTTTTTTGAAATAAAGAAAGTATGTGATAGGGTACCTAGTGAGATAATTTGGTGGGTGCTGCAAAAGAAAGGGGCCTCAAGATGATATATTGACATTGGTTAGGAATTTTTATGAGGGAGCACTAAATAATGTGAAGATAACTAGTGGAGAGAAAAGTAAGTTTTCAATGACAGAAGGCTTGCATAAGGGTTCAACATTAAACCCATATTCTTTATTTTGGTTATAAATGAGTTCACTAGACATCGACAAGATGAGGTCCCGTGGTATATGTTGTCTGCAGATGACAGTTTTCATTAATGAGACAAGAGATGACGTAAACGCAAAGTTAGAACCGGGATGCTTTAGAATCTAGATATTTTAAAAAAAAAATAGTCAGACTAAGAAAGAATATATGAAATGCAAGTCTAGTAATAATAGGAGCTTATTTTGTTCATAACATATAGCCAATGAGTACCTAAAATATATTATTTTCGATATCTTGGGTCGATAATCCATGAGAAACAAACGGTGAGGAAGATGTTGCTCATAGATTTAGTGATGGATAGATGAAATGGAGATATGATTTTGGGGCCTTATGTGATCGTCACATACCAATTAAACTGAAGGAGAAGTTCTATAAGACTGTTGTAAGACCAATCATACTTTATGGGGTGTTAAGTACTCAAGAAACAAAATAACCTTATGATAAGCGTAGTTGAGATGAGGATGCTGAGATGGATGAGTAGCAAGACAAGGAAGTCTAGAATTCAGAATAAATACATGCAATAAGATTATATTATATATATATATATATATATATATATATATATATATATATACGAAACACTACGTACTACTAAATTTTACGGATAGTACTATAAC